GCCTCTTTGAGCTCCTTGTAGGTGCTCCATTTGTTGAGGCCATTTGCGACATGCTTATCCTGCAGGGACTAGGGCAAGTTATGGAAGAAGATATACATAACTTCATTCTCGGACAGTTGTTTGCCCAGCAATCGCAGAACGCCCTCAAACTCTTGTGCATATTTAATCACCGAACGATCGCCGCACTTGATGTTTTCAAGGCGACGATGCACCTCCAAATCAGTTGTCTTGACTAGGAAAGCCGCTTTCATTGCAGCATAGAACTCGTCCCAAGTCACTTGCTTCGAGCTGCTTCCGGCTAGCAAACATGGTTTGGCTAGCATGCTCATCCAACGCACCAGAGACGGCGGTGACACGAGCATTGATGCGCACGTTGTGGAGAGTCAGCATTTCATTCACAGTTGTCACCCAGTTCTCAACATCCGTCTTGCCATGGATGAATTTTGGGAGCGCAGTGGGGAGCGAGCCAAAAGGCGTTGCCATAGGCTGGACAGGCTGCTGGGGTGCTGCAGTTGAAGGAGATGCAACAGGAGGCGGATTGGATGGGGTGCCCGATGTGCCAGCAGTAGCAGGTGAATGCTGGTAGATAGGACCCCTCCGAATCTCCCTGTATTGGTTCTGCAGGTGGGCAATTGCAGGTTGCATCGGGGCGATGGTAGATTGCAGCTGGGCAGTTGTAGTCTGCAGTTGGGTAATAGCAGCTTGCAGGTGCTCGCACATTTTCTCCAGAGCCTGGATTTGACTGCCCCTGTTATGTAGCAGACGCTTGTGATCCCGTACCTCTCCGTATGCCATATTGAGATCGGCTTGCAGCCTAGTCGTGTCGGTCTTTTGTGTCGCCAAAGCAATATTGAGGGAGTTGATGTGTCCCTTCTGGTGATTGACTGTAAGCTGCTGTTCGGAAACTTGTGCCTGGAGTTTAGCCACATCATCGGAGAGCGACCATTCCTCGATGCCATCATCCTCCCCCTCTGCTCCATCGATCCCCCCTGCGTCTCCGTGCTCTTCATTGCCCTCATTCTCCAAATTTAGGTCCACCAATTCAATATCAACCATAGCCTCATCTTGCTGCTGGTTATTACCAGTAGCAAGGTTGGCTTCCTCAGGAGTCACATTGGGCTCCTCCCTCTCCAAGTTCTCCAAACCCAAACTTGAAGTCATGGTGGAGCAAGGAAAAGGTTTCAACATATCTGAAATTTTCTTTAAGATATCTTAAGAAATATGTTCAAGTCCCAATCACCGCTGTAAGAAGGCAAGACAATCTCAATAAAGAGATCTCTTAACAGAATAACTTGCAACACATAACTCACAATCTCAAATGAGAAATTACAAAAAATACAATATGTTGCCCAATCCCTAGCACCTCAATGCTAGGGCAAGATCTAAGCTAGATCTTGCAACAAAGATCTGAAACACACTCCAAAAGGGAGGCTTCCACCAACAAGGTGGGCAAGAGAGAATATTATCTCTCTTCAAAACTTGAATGGTGGAGGTAGGAGAAGAGGTTGTAGCGGTAAATGGTCTTGAGAAGGGCTGGAGTTGGTGAAGATCTTGAAGAAGCTGTCAAATTACTTGGAGAAGTTTGAGATGTCTTGAAAGATCTTCAAATCTTCACTCCAATGTCTTGGATTGGAGCCCAATCACCTCTCTAAAAAAAATAATCAAGAAAATCCCACAAGGCTTAAGATTAACATTGCTCTGAATACCAATGTAACAACCCTTGCCCTTATAACATGGGCCAACAAGGGTTGGAGTCAAAACCAACACCCAAGATCCTAGGATATAATGATGAGGTACAACCAACTAGCGACCTCCTAGCGTGGTATTTAGGAGGAACCTCCTCTAAGAGATAGCTTAAGCTTGAGGAAGGCCCTTGAAGAATAGTGCTTGAGGCTCTGGTTGGATAGGGCTTCCCCTAGGAGATCACACTAGAAACCACTAGTGTAGGAAGGCTTGTGAGGAGAGCTAATGAGTTAGAGAGAAAAACCCCATTTCAAGATTGATTTCTTGGAGTGGGAAGTTGAGAATGAGCTTCTCAGTCCAGACCCCTTCCAATGACTCCTAGCAGCTGCTGAACCTCCTCCATGGCTCCAAGGAGGTGAGCTAGCTTAGTGTACAGCATAGGAATAATCGAGTTGAGCTGGCATTGCCAACCAACTCCCTGATTCTGATTGGTCGCAAAACCAACCATCGCGTGAGTCGGGAATTTCGCCAACTCAATTTGTACAACTAGAATCTGATTGGTCCCAAGTATCGACCAATCCCAATCCTCCCCTGTCAACCCTTCCTTCCCATTACGCGCTACCTAGCATAGGTAGCCAATTTTTAGAAGGCAGTTGGGGCAGTCGTTTCTAGGCCCGCGTACTGTGCAGAGGCCATGCGTTACAGGCGACGTGGGGGGATGACACACTCGGTCGTGGCGGCGATGGAGCGGGCATAAAGAGAGAGGCGCCACTCCGCTTCGGCCGCTGTTTCGTAACGCGATAGAGCGGACTATTTGGCTTGCGTCCAGGCCTGACGGAGTTAAGGCGAACGCCGCGACCTGACGTTTGGGATGCGGCGCTTCCCAAATGGCTAGGGGAATCGGAATGTGCGAAATGTATTCGCGTGGGATGTGTGGTTCTAGCAGTGGGTGGGAGCAGCTAGCGCTCTTGTCCCGCGTCGTTGCTATTGACTCTGCACTAGCAGTGGCGATGGGATCCGCAGGAGGAATGTGGCACGACAGGGCTTTGGCGGATGGATAGTGGGGAACGCATGCCGAGTTTGCCCAACTGCTCTATAATCGACGAGTTGGAATCCGAGGATTGCGCGTGGGGGGCGAACTGTAATGATGTCGCAAGAGTGCACGAAATGCAGCGCTTTTTTTGCGAAGCTCTGTGACATTTAGGCGGCTATGCCTTTTACTCGTGATTACTAGTCTAGAAACTGTCGATGGACTTACATTAGAACTTGAGTTTGAGGGGGGGAGGTGGTCTAGCGTTTGGTGGGTCGTTTGTCGCAGAGATTGGGGAGTGTATGGGTGGATGCGCCAATCATATCGCACTGACCCGGATTTTGAAGTGTTGCACTCCAAAACGGGTTACCAAGTCAACTCTCCCCGAAAGTCCAAAACTTAGGACTTGACTTTCGGGGGTTTTTAGATCCGCGCTTTAAGCGGCGCATTCTAAGGGGTGTAACAATTTGTTCAGTTCAGGGCCACTCCTAGCAAGTTTCAGGCTCACTCGACACAAAGTATTGATGGAAAAGATTTGTACACATCAGCGTATACTCTGACGTGTGCTGGTCCCAGCTGTAGAATCTTTGACCCCAAGTGGGCTAACACATGCCTGGGTTTGGGCCCTTCAAAAAGCTCAAAGTTTTGCAGGGATACCAGCCTCGCCAATTTCGTCAAGCCTGTTCGCCCCTAAAAAGCTTCCATATAGTTCGAACTAAAAAGTTCGAACAAGGGAAATTCGATGAAATGTCCCACGCCCATGGCTGGAACATCAACGCTCACGACTGTGGCCTAAGATTGTTCAAGCACAAGCCCTCATAATACACTTAGCCTGCGGTATTTTCACACCCAGTATTTTCACAGGGGGTGCCGCTGAGAGGGTATTCACCCCCCGAAACGTTTATTGTTTGATTTAGTGTTTTTCGAGTCAGGAAACCCGACGTCAGCTTAGCCAGTGCTCAATTTTTTTGCCCGCGTGGAGTCTGCCAAGCTTAGGCCGTAGGGACAAGGGGGTACTGTCTACGCACTCAGAAATGGTCAGGGTGGAAACAAAAATTCATTCACCGCCCATTTTCAGGGTGTAAGATTACCGCGGGTTTGGTGTAGTACTGTAGGCGGTACCGCCCGAAGAGCATCCATCCTAACCCCACTCCACCCCACCTGTATGGTTCTGTTTTATATTCGCCCTCATTTACAGTTTGCCTCATTCAATGAGTCAGAGCGGGGGATTTCGAAGTTCGCTGTCATCGGATGTCGACGACTTTGCCAGGAGCCAGTACGTAAGGTCGGTACACGTATTGAGCGTCGATGCCTTTGTTCTGTGGGTTTCAGTGAGTTGCAAAGAGGTGAGATGACTCTGACACAGTCCACATCCCGACATCCGGAATTCGAACACTTCCTCAGGGCGTGTTTGCACCACCACTCTGTAACATGGTTCTGTTTTAATGAACCATACGGAAACGTTTTGAAACGATCTATTCGAACATGCTACTTCTTCGAACCTCGATCCGCCCGCGATGCAAACCAACCTGCAAATGCACTTGATTGATACTTGGTGGCTGTAAGTATTCATGCGAGGAAGCGAGGAAGCTGACGTGCATACATCGTGGCTACACTTATGCTTGTGGTTCTGCGTGATGGGCTTGAGCACGGGGGTGAGACATGTGGCTGGAGAGTGACGGTTGGTACTGCCATATGACAGGGCGGATTTGGCCCTACGAGACTCACCGGAATGGGTGGCTTGAAGGTAACACCACGAATGGGCTGCCCGGAAATGTGTATTCCTGACGACACCGACATAAGGTTCTGTACAAATGATGTCCGCAAAATGCCCAGGCCGATTCTGTCCCAAAGTGCACTCCCCCGATCTATAATTCCATCCACATTCATCCAACGCGACTTGTGAACAGAGTGTTCTAAAGTCGGGCACCCTCTGTACGTGTTACAGCCTCCTCGAACTCGTGCCTTTGTCCGCTCGGCACAAAGCAGCTCCGCGGCACCTGCGTGCGTCACGAGCAGTACTTACCGCACGCACTCGCTTGGAGCAGTTGTGGAAAGCAGCCAAACCGTCCCTTTGCCATAAACTTGTCGCAGATGCCCCCAGGCAGGACAACGTTATCCTAGTTTCGGCTGAATTCTTTTTTTTCCGCGCGCCCAGCAGCCCAGGGTCATTCCCACTTGTTCGTTGTTGGGGTTCTCCCTGCCACGCTCCACTTGCTGCGTCCCGAGCTGGTTGCTTTCTTGGTGAGCTGAGCTGCCTTCAGAGGAAGGGTGGTTGGTCAATCACAGCGTGCATACATGTGAGCTAGCTTCAGAGGAATAGTTGGGTTCAGCCGTCCAGTACCTACACGATCGTCGTCGTCATCAAGATCAAGAAAAAAAAGGTTGCAGTTGCGTGTCTCTGTGTGTTTGCGTTCTTCCGCCAACGTATCACCCAGCCATACAGTATTCAACCGTTATTGTCAAACCGAAGCCGTCTTATACAGGGCCAAGAAGTCGCAAAAGGGCTCGCCTGTGGTGACCTGCGGAATTTAGTCGCCCGGCGATGCGAGGCGACGATCGGCTGTCGCACTGGCTGGTGGAGGTCGTGAGTCCCGGAGGAGCGTCCTCTTCGAGCGCCAAGAGCGGGCGCGGGGGGACGAGAGGCGGCAAGGATGGCGCGGGCGAGGCGGCGGGGCTGGCGGTGGCGGTGGAGGAGGCTAAGATTGAGCGGTCGGGTCGCGTTCTAATCATCCTCGTGCACGTCGTCGCGGGCTGCGACGCTCGTGGTGAGCGCGCCGAGGCGCGGTGGAGATGGTGGTGGTGATGGTGATGATGATGGTGATGGTGATGGTGATGGTGGTGGTGATGGTGATGATGATGGTGATGGTGATGGTGGTGGTGTTGGTGATGGTGAAGGGGAGGGGCGATGAGAGGCTGCGGCGCGGATTGAGGAGAAACGGGGAGGGAATATGGGAGACATACGGGGGATTCCAAAAGAGAGGGAGAGCATACGGACGGTGGGTCATCTCCCACCACGGTTACCACCCTTTTTCGCGGCCTTGAGAGTTGCCTCTCCTCCTTCCCGCTCTCGCAGGCTCGTCGTCCCACGACGCGGAGTCCCCGAGGGCGGCAGCAGGCCAGGAGCAGGAGCCGCGGCAGGACATGGAGGAGGCGGTCAAGTGGGCGCTGCTGAAGCCGCTGCAAGTGGCGGTGCAGCAGCAGCAGGTGCGCCCGCGAGCATAACGTGCCGCTTTGCCCTGGATTTGCGATATGCTCGCATCGCCAAGGTTGTTCTTCCCCTGCTGCGCGCTCACCTCCCTCCTCTCTTCCCGCGTCCCTTCCTGCACACCTCTCCCCCCTTTTCCCCCCCCCGGATGTTTTGCGCCCCCCGTCGGTGCGCAGATGAGGGCGGTGATGCACGTGGAGGTCAGCCACTCCAGGGAGCGCGGCCTCGCTGACGTGGCGCATCGCTTCCAGGCCACGCGCCTCTATATCGGCCCCGTCAAGAGGTAACCCCCTCACCGCGCCGCGCCCCTCTGTGCCTTGCGCTCGTCGTGCCCCTCCGTCCCTCCGTTCCTCCGCCTCGCCCCTCCGCTTCCCTCCCCAACGCATTATCCCCCCACCTGAGGGCCCCCCCACTCCGCGCTCGTCTTTCGCTCCCCGCGTGCCCTCCCCCCATCAGATCAGTGCTCTGGTCTCGGCTCGCTGCCCTTTCGCTCGTGCCGCACTCCGCCCACCACCCGTCGCCGCCCACGCTGCTCTCCGCCCTCCCGCCCTCGTGCCTCCTCATCGAGGCGCGCGGCACTCTCCGTCTCTCCACGCACTATCACCCCCTTTCCGCCTCCGCCACACCGCCCGCCCTCTCCCAGTCGCGCTCGCTGCCCCAAGGCGTGCGCGCCGCGCGCTCCTTGCGAGGCGCGGGATCGTTTCTGGGCAGCGCGCGGCGCATTGTGGGGCGGCGGTCGTACGCCGAGGAGGGGGGGCGAGGGGGGGAGGACGGGGGAAAGGGGAGAATGGCGAAGAGCGGAGTCCTGGAAGCAAGGGGCGGAGCGGAGTGGGAGGGGGAGGAAGAGGGGGAGCGGGAGGGGCAGGTGCGAGGGCATCAGGGGCAGTCGTTGGGGAGGGCGTGGAGTGGGGTGTGGTCGGGGGCATGGCAGCACGGCAGGGGGGCGGGGAGCGGAGCACTGGAGGCGGAGCAGCGGGGGAGCTTGTCCGCGGGGGTATCCGCGGATAGTGCGCGTGGTGAGCAGCACTATAGGCGCACTGCCGCACGCGCACGTGCACATGCACTTGGTGATGGGTTTGGTGATGGCGATAGAGAGCGTTGTAGCACACCACAGGAGCGCCACCAGCACCCCCACCAGCAGCAGCAGCAGCAGCAGCAGCATGCGCACCCCTCATGGCTCCAAGAACGACGTGGCAGCGGGTCCTTCATGCCCACGTGGAGCTTCGGCCGTAGGACACGTGGCAGCGGTCCGTTGGCTGCGGTTGAGAGAAGTGACGATGAGGGCATGGGAGTACAGCGTCGGCCTCGGTCAGGGGTGTTGGGGGTCGTGGACAGAGATGGAGGGGAGCGGGGAGCGGAAAGCGAGAGAGAGTGTGAGAGTGAGAGTGAGAGGGAAAGGAAAGTGCATGGGAGGGTGGGAAGTGGGAGCGAGAGGGGCAGGGGGAAGTACCGCGGGCGATGGCGGAGCGGGCGGCTTAGGACCCAGTCAGGTCCCTTGGGGCCGCACACGCCCGCTGCGCTCGCCTCACCGCACTCCGCTGAGTCCTCCCCCCCCCCTACACGCGTGCTGCCACTGCCCCTGCGGCGACTGCTGCCGCTGCTGCGCATCCGCCCGCCTCTCATGGCGGCAGTGCGCCAGGCGCCGTGGGGCAAGGCGGGGAGGTGGAGGGCGCGGCAGCGCGAGCAGAGGAGCGCGGGGGCAGTGGCGGCAGGCGAGAGCAGCGGTTTCAAGGTGCGGAGAGCATTACTGAGGGGGGGGAGGGGGAGGAGGGAGAGGGGGCGGAGGGGGCGGAGGGGGCGGAGGGGGCGGAGGGGATGGAGGAGGTAGGAATCACAGAGGAGTGCGGAGGTGGGGAGAGGGAGGGTGCGACGCGGCAGGTGAGGGAGCGGGGGTACGGCAAGGCGCCGAGCGGCTTGCACAGGGAGGTGCGCTCGCGGCTGCTGCATGCAGACGGGCGCTCCCCCGCGCCCACACCCCCCGGCTGGCCCATGAATCTCTTCCGCTCCTCCTCCGTCCCCGGCCCCTCCTCCCCCTCCCGCGCCTCCCCATCCCTACTCCCGGGCTCCTCCTTCTCCTCCTCCTCCTTCTCCTCGTCCTCGTCCCGCCGCGGGCCCCCCCTTCTCTTCGCGCGCGCGGCCTCTGTGCCGGGCAGCACGCGCGCCGTGAGCGCAGGGCGCCGCGCGCACCAAGGCACAGGGGGGCGCGGCAAGCAAGGCGGCAGGCGGCGCAGCGATGGATTCAGCAGGCGGAGCGCTGGCAGCCGCGCACGGGGCGATGGGGGTGCGTTGGTGGCGGGGGGTAGTGGTGGGGGGGGAGAGGAGGCGGGGAGGGTGGAAGGAGAGGAGGTAGGCATGGAAGGCGTGGGAGGGAAGAGGGGAGAGTGCAGCGCAGGAGGGGCAGGAGGGGCAGGAGGGGCAGGAGAGGCAGGAGGGGCAGGAGGGGCAGGAGGGGCAGGAGGGGCAGGAGGGACAGCAGGGGCAGGAGGGGCAGGCACAGCAAGCGAGGCACTGGAACGCAGTGTATCCGTGCCCTTCCCTCCCTCGCTCTCCTCCTCCTCCCAGTCGTCCTCCTCCTCTGCGCGCCTGCTCTCTCTCTTCCGCCCCAGCTGCACCCTCTCCGCCACCCCCACCTCCCCCGCCTCTCCCGCCGACACGTCGTCGCCTGCCATACCGCCCAGGAGGGACGGGCGGGGCGGCAGGGCGTACGAGGTGGTGCCCGTGGATTGGCTGCAGGAGGTGGAGGCGAGGAGGGCGCGCATGAGCGGAGGGGGGGGGTGGGGGTGCGTGTGAGGCAGGCGGGGGAGTGCGGTGGGCGCGGCAGCTTGGACAGCCACCTGACGAGAGCAGCGGTGGCTGGTGCTGCTGCTGCTCATGCCCCGGGCTCAAGTGCATGCCGCTCTAGTGGGTGCTGTGAGACGTGCCCCCCTGCTGCTGCTGTAGGCTTTGCTGCTGCTGCTGCAGGCCTTGCTGCTGCTGCTGCTGCTGCTTCAGGGCCTTCCCTCAAGGATGTGTGCGGGCAGCTGTGCCGCACCGCGTGTGTGCCTGGCTGCTCGGACCAGTGTACCTCCACACCCTCTCTCACTCCCACCCCTCTCACTCCCATCACCCCCGCCACTGCCACCACTGCCACCACTGCCACTGCGCCTATCTCCCTGCCCTCCACCGACTCTGCTCCTTCCAGTGCCTCTGCGCACTCCCCCCAGGGACCCCTTGCCGCCTATTCCCCACACCATGAGCCCCGCCTTGTTGCCGTGTGCGTGCATGCGTGTGGTGCGGGGCAGCAGGGGCACTGTCCCTCAGCAGTGCACGAGGGGGGCGGAATGGAGGCGGGCAGTGCAGCGGGCCAGCCAGCCATGCAGCACCATATGCATCCGCCTCACCTCACCATCCTCACGCCCCACAGCGCCACCAGCACTACAACCACGCCCACCCCCTCTCACCTCACTCCTTCTCTACCCTCCAGCACCACGCCCCTCACCACGCCTGCCAGCGTGCACCAGTGGCGGCGGCGGCGGCGGCGCGAGTGTCCGCGGCGGGACGACAGCGACAGCGTGCGGCGCATGAACGCATCGCTGGCGTACCTGTCCACGCGCCACAGCCAGCTCGTGCACCTGGGCGGTGCGGACGACGACGACGGCGACCTGGGCGAAGGGCTGGACGTGGACGAGATGGTGGCGGGCGCACGCCTGGACGCCGGGGGCGAGGCCGCACTGCTCATGGGCGCCGTGGGGTGGCAGGGCGAGTGGGGTGCGGCGGGGCACGCAGGGGATGGGGAGATGGATGCAGGGGATAGGTGGGGGTGCGGTGGTGAGTGTAGTGAGGGATGGAGAGAGAGCGAGATGGGGTGGGTGGAGTGCATGGGTTCTGCAGCCGGTGATGCTCCCTCCCACGACCGCTTCTCTGGCCCGCTCTCCCATGAGGTCGCCCCTGCTTTGGGAGAAAACGCCAGCACATCAGTAGCAGCAGCAGGAGCAGGAGCATTGCCGTCACCATCATGTGCCACTTTCTCAATCCACGGCAGTCCGTCCAAGGCTGCACCCCACTCAGCCTCCTCCCATGGCAGCACCCCCACTGGCCTGAGCCCCGCGTGCCTCTCCCCTCCCTGCGACCTCTCCTCCCGCCACAGCCCCTGCCGCAGCAGCCCCCACGCCTCCCCCTCTGCCGCCCTGCCCCGTGTGCCCTGTTCCCTCAGCCACGGGTGCGACACTGCTGCAACGGGCGGGGGGGGAGGCAGTGGCGGTGGCAGTGGGGCGAGTGAGGGGCGGCGGCGGTCCATGCTGGGGATGAGCAGGAGCATGGGCATGGCCACTCTCTCGCACGCCCTCTCCTCGCTCTCCCATGCTGCTTCTGCTGTGTCTGGTGGGTCGGCCTCAGGCTCCCCTGCTGCTCCCAGGACGGCCTCCCGCCTCATGATGTCCTCTGGGCCCTCAGCAGACGCGCACCTCGCATATGGCAGTACGTCCATGGGAAGTGGCACGGGCACAGGCAGGGGTGCTGACATGGATGACCCGCCGCTGCTGGGAATGAGAGAGCCATTGCGCGGGGCTGGAGCAGTGGCGGCGGCCGTGGTGGGGGGGGACATGGAGGGCGACATGGGGCTGGACATTGACATCCTGCTCTCCGACCTGCGCTCCCGCCAGATGCGCTCCGCCTCTGGGCCCCTGGTGCCGCCCAGGGCATGCCCCTCACCGCCTGATGCTCACCCTGCTGCTTCCATGGCTGCTGCAGCGGCAGTGGCAGTGGCGCGTGTTGAGGGCGGTGGGGGTGATAGGAGCGGGCTGTTGTGCGATGTGGCGGTGGAGGGATGGCGCTGCGCAGCAGAGTCAGACTCGGGTGACTGCTCGCTGGCTGCTTACTAAGTATACTCCTTTTGCTAAGCAGCTGTGGCGATGAATAATCACCTGCCACTGTTCATGGTTGTGGAAACATGCAATTTTGATGTGATTTAGCCAACGGGCTTTGATAGGTACTCTCATTAGAGATACAATATAAGCCAAGGCTTACTGAAAGAATGTTATAGCATGTGCGCAGGTGAGGTGACTCCTCGCATCGAGATAAATTACTGTTCAGCAGGACAACATCAGTGGCTGGCTTGCTGAATGAAACATGCCTCGGGAGTGTGGGGAACAGGGCCCAAAATTGGTTTAGAGGCACCCTTGGGAATCAGGGTACCGCTACACAATTACCCTGCCTCCTAGGGTGGATTTTTCTGCACCCTTTGAAAATCAGGGTGAATTCGTAAAAATAGTCCATACCCTGATTGAGTCAGGGTACTAATGCCATCACCCTGTCCCTGTCAGCTTCTACAATTTCAGCTTCTTACCGTATTAGCAAGCATATAAGCAGGATCACTATAGCAAAGCATCAACAGCCTCTCCTACTTCAGCTACTTCCGTCAGCATTGCACCACTGCACAAATACCGCAACAGCGGCGGGGGCAGTTACAGCTAGAGTGCTCCTTCCTTCCACGGATGGAGCTGCTGCTGGAGGCGCTGAAGGGAAAGAAACACGGGGGAAAGCACATGGTGATGCGCGGGGGGAATAGCGAGAATCTAATAGAGCAGCAGGAGACTAAGGGCATATTCGTGAGTTTAGACTGCTCATTCCGCTCACGAATACGCCCTTACACCCTTAGTTTAAACTCGCATGCGTCGCGAGAGACAAAGGGCGTATTCGTGAGTTAGCATCAGAAACGAAATCAGAATCAAAGTCGTGCAAAACCAAACCGAACCTCATTAGACTGCTCATTTTGCTCTTGCACCTCACTGTACCGTGCAAGTCTGATGCTATCTCAGGAATACGCGTTGAGGGAGCAGCGAGAGACTACGGGAGCAGCGAAATACTAAGGGAGCAGCGAGAGACCAAGGGAGGAGCGAGAGACTAAGAGAGCAGCGAGAGACTAAGGGAGCAGCGAGAGATTAAGGGAGCAAGGAGGAACAGAGAGACAAACAAGGTTGGGGGGAACGAGCGAGAGACGAAGGCAGGGAACAGAGACACTAGGGGAGGGAGCAGCCAAAACGAGAATTTGTTGGTGGGCGGGGCTGCCTGCCTGCGTAGCAGATTCGACAGTTGGCATATTTCGAGGGTTGGGAGTTATCTGTTTCAGGGTGTTTTTTTTACGCACACTGACTGGTCAGGGTAATAAAACGAACACTCTTACTACAACAGGGTAAAATATTCCTTACACTTTTTGAAAAAGGGTTAGAGAAAATTTGGCCTTACAAAACCAGGGTAATCCTGAAATAGCGGCCGCTGTCAAGGGTAATCAGGGTGAGACACCCTTGAAATTTGAGCCCTGGTGGGGAAGCCATTCGCCGCGCAGCCCACGATTTCTCAGTGCAGAGCGGATCCCAAGGCTGGTTCCATCAGCAAGGCAAATTGGTTGTCCTAGTGCCGCAAATCCCCTGAATTGCCTATCACACAGCAACTTCCCCCCTCGCGCTCTGTGACTCTCCCTCTGTCTGCTGTCAGCTTCGCCACGTGGCAACAGCAGCGCGCGACCCGGCGATGGAGCTGCACGGATCGCATGCACCGTCCACCGCTCCGCCTTCCTCGCCGTCAATGGCGCGCGCGATTGACCACTCCACGCGCGCCGCGGCGGCGTCGTTCCTCCGCGACGAGCTCCCCCAGGTGCGCCTCGCCTCGCGACGCGATCCGCCTGGAGTCGATCGTCTGCTCCCATCGGTGCTCGTCGCGTCGCACGAATGATGCCGCTCTGTCGCGGCGATCCAATGCGACGAGATGCGAGAGACGAGAGACGAGAGGCGAGAGACGAGAGACGAGACTGACGCTGCTTGGCGAACGGATGAGATGGCCGGCTGGTGACGGACTGGGATGGAGGTGCCACGTGGAATTCTTAGACCAGCTGGGACGGAGCCGATGGTCGGACGTAACTGCAGGGTGCGGGATGATTTTAGCCAGGTCGTGGGTCTCTATGGTGCATCGCGTCGCATGTTGCCGCACGTACACGCGTGCGGGCGCATGACGCGTGCGCGCCGCCTGCGTGCTGAGCTGCTGCTCGGACCGCCGCCAACGCCAAGATCGCCCTTCCACCCCCATGACCTGCCGTGCCCTCGCTCCCCTCCCCCTCGCCCGCAGGTGCTCGCGAGAGCAGCTGAGCTGGCGGCCGTGGAGGACCCCGAGACAGAGTGAGTGGGGGGGGAGGGGGGGGTGGGGAGAAGGAGAGAGGGGGCGAGGAGGACGAACGGAATCTGGAGGGTAGGGAAAGGGTGTGAATTGCGAGATTGTAGTTAAGGGCCGGGAAAGGCGCCCTGGAACGCAACAGCAGTGCCTTCTTGGCTCCTTGCACACGTCTGTCGACCATCCCTTTGGGCCTCCCCCATGGATTCTTTGTGCTTCCCGGTTCGCCATCCATCCACCCGTTTTGATGCCCTCGCCTGCTCACCTCTGTCGCCCATGCTCCTCCAATCACCTTCATCCCTGTTTACCTGTGTCTGTCTGACCCTACCCTCACCCCCCTCCTCCCCCCCCCTTCCCCCCCCCCGCCTCCCCCTCACCTCCTGGGCTGTTCTTTCTTCCCCGGCAGGCCCTACCGATCCAAGTATGCGGCTGCTACCGCACTGGTACGCCTCTGCCTGCTCTGCTGCTGTTGCCTCCGTGCTTGCCTGCTGCTCGCCCTCCCTCTCCTCCCATCTCACCTCACCCGTCACTCACTCACTCTCTCTTGCCTCCCACGCACCACCTCTACTCCCCTCTCCTTCCGCGCAGTCCTCAATACCATCTTCCTCGTCTCACCACACACTTATTTCTGTGCCCTTCCCCTTTCCTTCCTGTGCAACGGTGCAGGAGGCATCACGAGGCAAGGCGGACATGCTGCTGCGCGTCTTTCAGGCTGCTGCCTCGCCTCACCCTGCTACTGATGCTGCTGCTGATGCTGCTGGTGCCGGCAGGGAGGACACGGTGAGTATGTGAGCAAGGCAGGTGTCCTTGTGCAGGGTGGGTGGAAAGAATCAGCGCAAGCTCTTCCCTATGCTGCAGTGTGTCTAGATGCTTACTTCCCCACGCCTCCACCCCCGCAGCCCACAGCCCCCTGACTGACAGCCAATGCGTGCATGTGTTCACATGCGTGTGTGCGTGGGCGTGCAGGCCAGGGCATCGGACCTGGCGGACGCGGTGGCGGTGCTGGACTACAAGAGGGGCGCCTTAGCTGCTGACGTGGACGAGGTCACGCGCGCCAAGAGCCTGCTGACAGCAGCAGATGCACAGCTGCAGCTCAACGACGCCAAGCACCTGCGCTCGCTCATTGTATGCATTGTGGCATACGCACGCATCCATGCATGCATGCACCCCGTGACCCAGGCAGCTCAGACCTTGCTCCACTCTGCTCAACAACATCCCTGCCTCCCTCCCTGGTTCCTCGTGTATTTTTCTTTTTTATGGTCACTCGCACCCTCACTTAGTTCCTCCGTGCTCCTCCCTTGTCCCTCGTCATCGCGCCATGCCATCCCCATGGCGCCAGGACGTGTGCAACCTGCTGGGGCTGCTCACCAGCAATGACGACGACCACAAGGCGTCGCTAGCATTCCTCGTCAGAGCTCACAAATAGTATGATCCACCATTCCCACTCGCTCACGCACTCTCCCCATCCTTCCCTCCGCGTGCCTTCTCTCTCCTGCACGTGTTTCACTTCTCCATTCCGCCCTTGCCTCCTCGGCATGTTAGCCTCCTACTTCACTCGTCATCTCTCCATCTCTCCCTCTCTCCGTCTCCCCCTGCTCTCCTTCCCCCTTCGACCCCCTTCCCCCTCTCCCCCATCCCGCATCCCCCAGCTACCATCGCTATCTGGGCATGTGGTCGCAGGCAGCAGGGGAGGTGATGGAGGAGGGCGGCGAGGGCAGGCAGGGCGGGGAGGAGGAGGCGAGGGAGGTGGAGTCGCTGCACACCATCACCACCTTCTACCTCGCGCAGAGTATGTGCAGAGTACACCATCACCACTGCTCTGCACGCCACACCACCTCTTGCTTCCCCCCTATTGCCGGCCCTGCTACTTGCTGCCACCCGTGCCGCCCCCTCACCTCCCTTTCTTCCTCTTGCTTGGTTTCGCCGCCACAGCTACCTGCTGTACCATGAGTGCCTCTCCCCCCCCCCCACTCGAACACCCCCCCCCCCTGTCCCCGTGCGTGCGTGCAGCGCTGGCAGCGATGGGCAAGAAGCGCCGCGCGGCGGCCTTCTGTGCGGCGACGCTGACGCGGCAGCTGCGGCTGCGGCAGCAGTTCCGAGCGTGGGACTGGGCGCAGAACTGCGCGCAGCTGGCGGGGTACTACCTGGGGCGCGACGAGTTCACCACCGCGCTGCACTGCCTCGCCGCTGCCAGCACTGTGGTCGCCAGGCACAGGGCGGGGCAGCCCGTGCTGCCGGGGGGCAATGGGGCGGACACAGGGGGGGCGGGGGCGGATGCAGGCAAGGGCGATGACGAGCAGGTGCGGGAGGTGGCGGCCAACATTGAGATCGGCGTGGGGAAAGTGTAAGCAGCCTTGGGATGCGAGGCGTGTGCGGCTCCCTCCCCTCACAATGCCGCTCATTCAGCCTTCGTTGGGTCACGCTGCTCTTTCCTCAATTCGTCTGTCCTCTCACGCTGCCTCCCTTGTGCTGCGCTCTGCCACCCTCCTCTCCACCCACGCCCTTACGCCCTCCATCTCATCAATCCGCACATTGTCCCGTATTTGCCCGCTCCCCTCCCGCCTTTTCTTCTCCCCCCCCTCTCCCCCTGACCCACCAGTCACCTGCGTGTGCTGCAGCGGTCGGTGGAGCTGGACGCCGCCCAGCCAGATGCCGCTGCTGCTGCCAACCCTGCCGCCACTCCCACACCCGCTGCTGCTGCTGCCAGCAGCACCGCAGCAGCCCCAAGCAGCGATGCCTCTGCTGTCACTGCCCCGTCGGGTGCAGGTGCTGCTGCGGGGAGCATGGAGGTGGATGGCGGGAGGAGAGAGGGGCAGCATGAGGGGGATGTGGACATGGGGGAGGGTGGGGAGGAGGGGGACGGGGAGGCCAGTGAGCGGTGGGCGGGCGAGGGCGATGTGGACATTGCCCTGGGGCCCGACTTCTCCCTGCTGGGGCTGGACCCCCATGCAGGCACATGCGCGCGCATGCAGGCAGATGGGGGGGGAACTGGGGGAGAGAGGGGGGCAAGTGGAGGGGCGGAGGGCGAGGGCGAGGGGGATGTGGTGCGGGAGTATTCGCACGCCGTTATCCACTTCAACAAGGCCATGGCTGCATTCAAGGCTGCTCTCGAGGTGAAGGAGGGGTGTGGGGGGGTTGGGGGTGGGGTTGCATAGAGAAGAGTGTTTCCTGCTCTGAGGAGGCGAGTGTCTCTGCTTCCCGCTGCACGCCTTGATTTTCCTATCGCCCTTATGCCCCCTTCACTCCCTCGTTGCGCTGTTTTCTCTTGCCTCGCATGCCATCAGGTGTACACGAGTTCGGACCGCTTCTCAGACCACTTTGACATCGCCATGGACATCAGCACACTGCACCGGGTACCGCCTTCCACCTCCCCTCGCCTCGCCTCACCCCTTCACACCACACCCTCCCTCGCACGCCCTAGGCTGTGATAGTTTTTTGAGAATTCTCAAAAGCCCTTCACAGCCTCTCTTCTTTCTGCCTCCTTTCCCATGAACTGTGCGGTCCAACTCCGCATTCTTCATCCGCCTTCCTTTTTGCAATGGCTCTTCTGTTCCTCTCCTCTCTTCTCCCTCCCTCCCTCCCTACCTTTTCTGTTCGCTTCGCCCCCATTCCCCCCCCCGTGTCTTGTTCTCCCGTCCCCCCAGTACCTGGCGTACTTTGAGCCGAGCGCCCACCGAGCAGCGTTGATCCACCAGCGCCGGGCCACGCGCCTGCTGCCCCTGGCGGGCGCCATCAACCCGTCCGTGTACCCCTCCCAGGCCGCTCAGGTGCTGCTGCTGCCCGTGCATGGGGGACGGGAGCACAGGGGACGGGATGGGAGGAGAACAGGGGTGGTTTTTGAGTCGACTCAAAAGTCAGGAGAACAGGGGTGGTGGGGTAAATCGGTGATGAAGTTTAGGGGCAACATGAGGCATTGGTGGAGGTGGCAAAGGGATGTGAGAGAGTGGTTGATATGCGATGTGCCTTTGTCTGATGGGAACCTCATGCTGCCATGCTGCCATGCCCCTCCTCTCTCCTCTCTCCCTCCTCTTTCCTCTCTCCCTCCTCCTCTTCCTCCCTTCCCCACACGCTCGCCCTCCTCCCGATGTATCCCCCTGTGCCCCCCTTTGTGCCCACCATGTGCCCCACCGTGTGCCCCCCGGCAGTGCGTGCACGAGCTGGCGTCCATTGCGCTGAACGCCATGGAGCTGGAGGCCGACGCTGCCAGGGCCCCTGCCAAGATCATCGAGCCGGGCAAGCAGGTGGGCGCGGGGGCAGGGAAGTGCAATGTGATCTGGAGGAACAGCAAGAGGGGCATGAAGGAGTGGGAAAGGCACGCAGTGCCAAGTGACTATTGCGCAGGATGTGCATGGTGCTGGGTGCGAAGCACTGATTGAGGGGTTACGGTCCATGAAGTATGCACAGACAGAGGGGATTATTCACCTTGATTCCCAGCTAACCCTTTCGTCCCTTCCTTGAACCCTTCCCCTTCTCTCTCACCTCCTCCTCCCTCTTTCTCTCTATCACTTGGTTCTCTCCTTTTTCTCCCCATCCCTTTTCCCCCCCCTTTCGTCAGGCCATCCACTACTTTGACCGCTTCATCGCGCTCATGCAGTCCTCCAAGTCAGTGCTGCTGTGCCCTCTCCCCTCCTCCACCATTCTCGCTCCATTCTTGCCTTTCCTGCATGCTTGCTTCCACCTTACGTTCTGCCCCAGCTATGTGCATTACCGCCCTGCTCCATGCCTGCAGAGCTCATTCCTTGCTGCTTTACTATTTGCCCATGCTGCAACTAACCCATCCATTTTTTTCTTTGTCCAACTGTGCCACGCCGGCGCCCCCTTCCTTCCCATCCCCTCCATTCCTCTTCCCAGCCCCCAGGACACAGACGCTGCTCGCTACGTGTACGCTCACTTCCACGCGGCGCGCACGCACTACCGCATCTGCACACTGCTGCCACCGCAAGGTCTGTTGCACCCTGCACTGCAACTCACATGCCCCCCTCTTCAATCACTCTCCACTGCACTCGTGTGTTGTGTGTTTCGAGAACTCTCAAAAGCATAGCACATCTGCTCCCTGCACTGCAACTCACATGCCCCCCTCTTCAATCACTCTCCACTGCACTCGTGTGTTGTGTGTTTCGAGAACTCTCAAAAGCATAGCACATCTGCTCCCTGCACTGCAACTCACATGCCCCCCTCTTCAATCACTCTCCACTGCACTCGTGTGTTGTGTGTTTCGAGAACTCTCAAAAGCATAGCACATCTGCTCCCTGCACTGCAACTCACATGCCCCCCTCTTCAATCACTCTCCACTGCACTCGTGTGTTGTGTGTTTCGAGAACTCTCAAAAGCATAGCACATCTGCTCCCTGCACTGCAACTCACATGCCCCCCTCTTCAATCACTCTCCACTGCACTCGTGTGTTGTGTGTTTCGAGAACTCTCAAAAGCATAGCACATCTGCTCCCTGCACTGCAACTCACATGCCCCCCTCTTCAATCACTCTCCACTGCACTCGTGTGTTGTGTGTTTCGAGAACTCTCAAAAGCATAGCACATCTGCTCCCTGCACTGCAACTCACATGCCCCCCTCTTCAATCACTCTCCACTGCACTCGTGTGTTGTGTGTTTCGAGAACTCTCAAAAGCATAGCACATCTGCTCCCTGCACTGCAACTCACATGCCCCCCTCTTCAATCACTCTCCACTGCACTCGTGTGTTGTGTGTTTCGAGAACTCTCAAAAGCATAGCACATCTGCTCCCTGCACTGCAACTCACATGCCCCCCTCTTCAATCACTCTCCACTGCACTCGTGTGTTGTGTGTTTCGAGAACTCTCAAAAGCATAGCACATCTGCTCCCTGCACTGCAACTCACATGCCCCCCTCTTCAATCACTCTCCACTGCACTCGTGTGTTGTGTGTTTCGAGAACTCTCAAAAGCATAGCACATCTGCTCCCTGCACTGCAACTCACATGCCCCCCTCTTCAATCACTCTCCACTGCACTCTCGCTCTCGTCAGATTCTTCCCTTGATGTCTCGCAGTGTGCTGCCATTGCCGTTGTGCTCATGCCTGCCTGCCTGCCTGCCTGCGCTGCTGCCGTGCCCTCCTCGTGGCTGTCCTTGCCTGCCTTCCCTTCATATCACTGTTTGCCTTCCTCTCTGTGCCCTCGTGCCCTGTAAAAAGCATGCTCATGAGGACCCTGTCAAGTTGCTCCACCCATGCCATTCCCCATCGCTCCCATGCCATGGCCTGGTCCTGTGTGTGTGTATGCCCGCCCCATCAGACGGCAGGGATCATCTGCAGCACAGCTTGAACTACTTCAGGTCAGCTTCCGCCCATCCCATGCACGCACAGACAGGAGACGCACAGGCAGGAGGCCACTGCCCATTTTCCCACCAGACCTGGGCAGTCCTCTCCACCTTGCTCAAACCAGACTTTGTCTGATTCCCCCCACAGCCCCATGCGTGCACCTTCTGCTCTGCACACTCCTCGCTGTAATTCCTACATCTCTCTCAAACACCTTAATGCTCCCCCCCCCCTCTCCCCCTCCTCTGTCGCCCCTGTTGGTGGCGGCGAGCAGCAAGTTCCTTGAGCAGGCGGCACGCATGGGGCTGCAGGAGCAGCTGCAGGCAGAGGTGGGGGTGGCCAAGGAGATGGTGCAGCTGCTGCCCACCAAGCTTGCCGCTGACCTCTCACGCCTCTCCATTTCTTGACCACTTCATCTCCAGCTCCTCTCTCCACCGTCCCCTCCCCCTCCCTGCACTCACACCTCTCTCCATCCCCTGCCTCTTGACCTCGCCGCACTTGCTTGCTAGACATGGCACTAGTGAACACCTGCTCAATTGCCTGTCTATTTTCCAGTTCGATGTAGGACCGTGGCTAACATTTTTTTCTGGAATTGGATGATCTCTCATTGTGCAAGCTAATGGAACTTCGGATTGTATAAATTGTCGAGGTCGGAATTGCAAGAAAATTTTTGTACACCAACCCTGCACACGTATGTCACGGATATCAGCAACCCTAAACCTTGCCCCAGCAGCTGTCCCCATGGGTCCCTGCCAGCCAGGCCTCCACTGGATCTGTGACACCCGAAAATATCTTAGCCCACTCCGCGCTTTCCCTGTGTTTCTAGTTCCTGCTTCCAGCGATTCCGCTCTGCCTCCGCGCTGTTCCTGCCGCGCGTGCTTCCCCGTCTGCCTCGCAGATCTTCCTCTCGCCCCGTCCTCTCGCTCTCCTCCCATTCCTCGCCATCATCTCGCCCCCTCTTTCGCCTTGCCCACCGCTCGCCGCTCTTCCCGGCACCCTCGTTCTGCCCACCCCACAACGCTCCACATTCCGGCACTCGTCTTTCCCTCCGCTCCTCACGCCCCGTGTAATCATTCCCGCGCTTTGCTCCTCGCCGTCCGCGCCCGCTCCCAGGCATGACCGCCGCCGCCCTCTGCCCCCGTTGCGCCGCCGCGGCAGTTGCGGCCGCCAGCGCTCGTGGGGGCGGAAGCTGGGGGAGAGGGAGGAGGGCGGCTGTGCGCGTGCAGTCAGCGCGGGAAGCAACCCCCGACGGCCCGCTCTTCCGCGCGCCCTCTCAGGTGATCTTTGCACCTGCGATTTACGCGGAGCCTGCTGGCCATTAGCGGCTGGAGCATGCGTGGGATCCACAGGCCCGCTGCACCCCACTTTTTCCCTGACTCCCTCCCTTTCCCCCTCCCTCTGCTCCGCACTTCCCCCTTCCGCCCATCTCTTCGCGCCCCTCTCCTCCCTCCCCCTTCCTCCCTTCCCCTCCATCCTGGTATCCCCAGCAGAAGAGCCGCCGCCTCTCCCCCGTGAACTCGCCGGGGGCGGGTGAGCGCCAGTTGCGCGCGCTGGCGGAAGGGACGCGGCAGGGGGGTTTGGGTCGATTGGGCAGGCGGAGAGATGCGGGGGGGCGCGAGGTGTCCGCGGATGACTACGCGGTGGTGGAGGCGTGGTGGTGGGCGCGGAGAAGCGCTGGCGAGGAGCGGGCGCGTGGGGAGCATTGGGCGGAAGAGGGGCAGGAGGATGCGGGGAGAGGGCGGAAGGAAACCAGGGAGGGGGGACAGCGGGCAAAGAAAGGGGACGAACGAGGGATGAGTGGGGAGAGAGAATCAGAGAGGGAGTTCGAAAGGGTGCGTGGAGGCGAGCGGTTGGGGGCGGTGAAGGGCGGTGGGTGGATGCAAGAGGAGGCAAGAGGGCCGTTGAGAGCAGGGGAGGGGCGGGCAGCACAGGTGCCCGTGGCGACAGGGAAGGATCGCCCCGGTAGGCAGAGAAAGTCCCGTGGCGTTGACAGCGATGCTGACGTGGCACGGAGCATGGGCGGTCAGGCTAGGGAGAGGGCTGGGGAGGAGGTGCAAGGGGATGGGGCGCGAGAGGCATGTGGCATGGCAGGGGGCGAGGGCAAGGAGTCGCGCGTGGGAAGGGGGGCTGCGCGTGTGAGAGAGGCTCCGCCAAGCAGCAGAGCACGCGGGGACGGGGTAGCACGAGCTTTGAGCGGAGAGAGTGGGCGGGGAGACGAAGGGCCTGTGGGCGATGGGGCGAAGCCGAAGCACATGGGGGGGGATGCGAGGCCGGGAGGGCGGTGGCGGGGGAATACTCGAGGGAGGTATGGGGAGAGTGGAGATGAGGGGGCGGGAGAGGATGAGAGCCGGGGGAGTGTGGGCGCACAGGCAGGTGAAGGCGGCCGCGCAGGGCTTAGCGGCGGGGCAGGTGTGGGGGGAGCGGGCGCGGGCATGGATGGCAGGGCAGTATGTGCGGGTGGAGCGGGCAGTGGTCCCGCCACCATGCACGGGCGCCGCCAGCAGCCCCGGAAGCGTGCATCGCGCAGGCTGCAGCCAGGGGAGGTTCGGTCTCTGGCCCGCCAGCTGCACACCACAGCACAATGCGCTGCTGACGTGGACGCCGTGCTGGCTGCAGCTTTGGGGGAGAGTGGGGAGGTAGAGGGGAGAGGCGCAGAGGCGGAGGAGCGAGCAGGGGAAGGGGGCGGGGCAGGGCGCGGAGAGCGCGTGTGGGTGCGCAGTGGGGTGGTGGTGGCGCTGATGCTGCCTTTGGCCGACATGCGATCATGGCGGGCGGCCATGCTGGTACGCTGGGGTCATGGTGCATGGGTGATGACCAAGGGATGCATATTTTTGGTGGAAATACGTCTCTCGGGCAGGGAGAAGGAAAATTAATGCTGACCCTCCCTTCACCTCTCCTCTCTCTCTCGCTCGCTCCCCTGTCCCATCCTTCCATCTTACCCCTCCCCTCCCCTTGCCAGCTGTGGCAGTGGTGGCGCCAGTCGCCATCGTACCAGCGCAGCCCACACGTGCTGTGTGCGCTGCTCTCCGTGCTGGCGCGCTGCAACCGCGTGCACGATGCGCTCGGGGTGTTTCGAGCAGTGCAGGAGGAGGAGGAGGGGGGGGCGGGGGGCGAGGAGCAGGGTGGCAGCAGCATGGACGCGGCGGTGTACAATGCGGTTATCTGCGCGTGCGGCAGGGCGGGCAAGGCGGACATGGCAGTGGCGCTGTTGCAAGAGATGATCCGCCGCTGCAGTGCCGCCGCCAGCCCTCATGCTGCCACACAGATGAACAGCGCCCAGCAATGCAGTGCTGAGAGTCATGCACTCTCAGAGTCACCCACTGTGCCGCACACCACCTCCAACAGTAGCACGGCCCACAGCCCAGAGGAACGCAATGATGCTGGCAGCACTGGCGTGCAGAGGGCGGGGTGCTGGCCGACAGCAGCCACGTTTGGTGCGGTGATGCACGCGCTGTGCAAGGCGGGCCGCGCGGGCCATGCAGAGGCGCTGCTGCCGCTCATGGCGCACCTCCACGTGCGCCCCACCGCCGTCATCTTTAACACCCTCCTCGCCGCTGCTGCTGCCGCCGCCAGTGATGCGGGGGGACGAGTGCAGCGGGTGCTGGTGGCTATGCGAGCAGCGGGCGTGGCCCCCACGGCCGCTACTGTGACTGCTGTCATGGGCGCGCACGCTGCCAGGGGCGACCACCACGCCGTGCTGCAGCTGTGGGGCTCAGTCAGGGGGGGGAGAGGGGAAGCGGGGAGCAGAGACGCGAGAGAGGAGGCGACTGAGGAGGGGCGAGAAGGGGTGCAAGAACGGTGGAGTGCGATTGCAACAGGTGATCCCACGTGGGCGGCGGCGAGTGCCCCAGATGCTGGGACAGCAGCGCACGTGGAAGGCGTGGTGCCTGGGAGGCGTGCAGCGGTGGCGCCAGACGCCATGATGGTCACTCTCGTGCTGGCCTCCATGGCCCGCCTGCACCTCGTGCACGCCGCAGAGGCCCTCTGGGCCGAGGCTGAGGCGGAGGCGGAGGCTGCACACGCACGGGGGTTGGGGGGGCGAGAGGGCGCAGGAGGGGATGGAGGGGAGGGCGCGGATGGGGAAGAGAGGAAAGGGGAGGGGGGGAGAGAGTTGGGGGAGGCAGAGGGGCATGTGTGGCGGAGCAAGAGGCAGGGAAGACGAGCGTGGTGTGAGGATGGTGGAGGTGGCGGAGGGGATGCGAGGAAGGAGAGTGAGGCGGGTGCATGGCAGAGCGGCAGCGAGCGAGGGAGGCATGGGATGAGGGAGGGGAGGGAGGAGGCTGGCAGGGGTGGCGGGGCAGCATGGGGCAGGTTGGACGGCATGGCAGCAGCTGCCATGCTGTCGGTGTATGTGGCGGCGGGCGACCTGTACCATGCCCTGCGCTTCCTCCTCTCTGCCGCTGCTGCTGGGCTGCTGCCCTTCCCTGGAACGGCCCTTGCAGCACCACATGCACTGTCACAAGCAGCAGTGCCACATGCACCTGCACCTGCCACACCATTCCCCTCCGCGCTCTCCTCCTCCCCACCCCCTGCTGCTGGCCCCCTCCCCCCCATGTCGCCCACGCCCCTGAACATGGTGCTGGCGGCACTGCTGCGTGCGGCCCTCATCCCCCACATGGACGCGCTGCTGCTCTGCTACCTGCACTCGCCTGCGCCCTCCCTCGCTCCCTGCTCCGCCCCCCACTCATGTGCCCGCACTACCCAACTGCCCACACTCCAGGACTGTGACCCTGCTGTCCGCCCGCCCTCGTCCCTCCCCATGCCCTCCCACCCCCCATGGGCTCGCCTGCCCTGGGATTGTCCCACCTGCTTGGGGAAAAGGGCAGGGGGGAAGGCGCTATGGAGGGGCAGTGGAAGGGATGGGAAGGGTGGAGGAGAAGGCGGATGGACGAAGGAGTGGGAGGGGGAGTATGGCGTGAGGGTGAGTGGTGGGAGGCAGAGGAGCGAGGCAGCAAGGGACATGGGACAAGGGGAGAGGGATGAGCAAGAAGCGGTGGGGGGAGGTGCGGGGTGCTGTTGCTGCAGCAGCAGTGGCGTGGTGGTGAGCAAGGGTACGTGTGAGGTGATGGTGCAGGGGTACTGCAGGGCAGGCTGGCATGCACGTGCGGCAGCTGTGGTGCAGTACATGGAAGAGCAGGGCTACAGGGTGAGCACCCAGCTGCTATCGCTGCTGCCACATGCGTAGTGCCATGCCATGCCACTCCACGTCCCTCCTGATGCATGCAGCATGCACGGCATGCATGTGCTTGGAGTGCCCTGCCCTGCGCACTCACTGAAGTTCCTTTCTCTGTCTCTTGAACTCTGTGGAAGCTGGGATGTGTTGTTGTGACCTCTGGCTGTTCCTTGTAGCGAGTGCTTTCTTCTCAGCCGCCTGTCAAGCCTGTGTGCATGGACTTGCATCCCACTGCCTGTGCATGCATGGTGTATGCCCAGTGCCCTGCTTAGTGCTCTCACACCTTCGTTGCATGTTCTGGTGCATGTGTATGAGCATGGAGCAGCCCCCTGTGTGAAGCATGTACAGCGAAGCATGTAATGCGTGGCCTCGCTCAACCCTTATTTGCAGAGGAACAAAGTGGGGCCATGACTAAAACCTTCTTGCCGCACTGTGAGGTAGCCCCTGATTTTGCTAGCTGCACTTAAAGCCCGTAACCCGAAATTGCAAGTTGCTAACTTCCTTCTTGGGCATATTTTTACGTACAGGGAGCAGGATCAGACTCGCACTGAAGCGCAATTTCAACATGTTCACCGCCCAGTACCGCACGAGGCTGATCCTGATCCCGCTTCAATAGGAACACGCCCTCACTGAGTGTGAAAATGAGGCAAGGCCCATGCGAAGCGAAGATGTGCGCAAATCAGAAGAGAAAGCAGACAAGGGTGCAAGCTGAACAGAAGCTAGGCAAGCGAGGGAAGAGAAAGCTGACACAGCAGAGAGAGGGTGGCGGTTTGCAGGGGCAGGCAAGGCAAGGGAGGAAGAGGGCGAGATTGCAGATGGCGAGAGAAAAAAAGACGGGTTTTTCCATGCTGCTTCATTGGACTTTGTGATCAATATTACAGATGATATTCAAGAGAATGATGAACAGATAGGATAACGCACACCATCCAGCAGGCATCACTGGTGAGCAGTACGTACTTGAGCGCTCACAGGCCCACCCCGCCCCAGACCCTAAAAAAAGAAAAAAGGCGCTACCATACCACTAACCCCTACACCCCGGCAGAGCATTAGACACGGAGGGGGACTGCTGCTGCCGCGGCAGCTCCCCCTCCCTGCCTAGAGTGTGTCCCACAACCCAGCTTCGCTCGTCGCCAACACGCCAACACGCACAGGAAGCCATTTGCAGCTGCCTTTATTGTGCCTCTAGCGCGTATCGCGTGCAGGCCATAGCGAACAGGAGTGGGAAACAGGACGAGCGGCTGCTGCCGCCGCCAGGTAACTCAACGACGGCGACCCTCAACCTTGCAGTGGACGTCGCACGTCGCATGGCCACAGTAGCAGCAGCAGCCCGCACACGCTGCACAGCGCATTCCGCTTGTTGCTGGCCCGAGGCCACCAGCCGGAGAACTCGAGGCGAGCAACGAGGCACGAGGCGCTTTACGCCCAGTTGCGCGGGTTCCTGCACACGTCGAGCAGCTCCGCCTCGGGGGTGCCAGCAGCGGGCTCCTGGGGACACAAGAACACGCAGCGCAGAGCGGAAGGAGGATTAGAACGGCCTACAGCGGAAGTCTGCAGAGATCCGCAGGGCTGGAGCACATGGAAACGAGCGAGGGCAGAAGGCGGGTTGGAGCAGCACGTACCTGGTTGTACTCCCAGCGGGCGGTGAGCGGCATGCTCATGAGAATGCTCTCAATGCGGCCGCCGGTCTTGAGTCCGAAGATGGTGCCGCGGTCGTAGATGAGGTTGAACTCCACGTAGCGCCCGCGGCGCAGCTGCTGCCACTCCTTTTGCTCCGCGGTGTAGGGCGTGTCCTTACGCTTCTCGACGATGGGCACGTACGCGGGCACCACGGCGGCCGCGCACTCCTTGGCCAGGTTGTACAGGATCTCGGGATCGCGGTCGTTCAGGTCGTCGTAGAAGATGCCACCGCACCCGCGACGCTCGCCACGGTGCTGTTGAACGAGTAGATTGAGGGGACGTAAAACCAGAGGCAAAATAAAAAAAATCACTACAAAAGCAGTGGCAAATGTACGCGATGGTTGCCCTCGTTCCAGAGTAGATGGTTCATTATGCGCGCTGTATTGGAGTGTGAGTGTGCGCGTGCACGTGTGCGTGCGCGTGCGAGGAAGTTAATGGGTGTACCTTGATGAGGAAGTACTCGTCGCACCACTCCTTCATCTTGGGGTACAGCGCTGGGTCGATCTTCTCCACAGCCGCCTTCTGGGTCTGCACGTGCCGCCACCACGCACGTAAAAGAAAGGACAGGGTTAGCAACAATGAGTTACCAACTGGTTAGCAACTAGCAACGGAAGAGGGCAACGATGAATATAAAGCAGGAGCGCGAGGCGAGGCAGGGTGCGAGCAACTGACCCCGTGGAAGTGCTTCATGTCCTCCTCGAAGAGGTACGAGGGGGTGATATCAGTGCCGCCGCCGAACCACCAGGCGCGGGGAGCGTCCTTGGCGCCCTCGGGGGCGTCGGTCTCGAAGTAGCGGTAGTTGAAGTGCATGGTGGGGGCGAAGGGGTTCCACGGGTGCATCACAGAGCTGATGCCACACGCGAAGAAGGGAATCCTGTCGCCCTCCTTGGGGGTTCCAGGCGCAGGCTCGCCCGTGGCTGCGCGGTACGCCTCGCGAGGCATGGTGCCGTACACCACAGACACTGCCACTCCAGCCTTCTCCCACACATTCCCGTTCTGAAGAACAGCGGAGATGCCACCGCCGCCACCAGGCCTGGATCGTGCGCAAGGGAAAGACAGAACCAGCGACCAGAGTCAGAAGTCAGCGGCCTTACACAAGATCAACCGTTCTGGATCAAGATCAAAGCAGGAAAAGAGATGGTCGGATCCGGAAGCGCGTACCTCATCCAGGCGTCGCGACGGAACTTTGTTCCATCGACCTTCTCGATGGCCTCGCAAATGTGGTTCTGGGCGTTCAGCACGAGGCTCTCGAATCGCTGGCGGAAGCTGGTTGGGTCCGGCTTGTTCCAGTCGCGCACCTCACCCTCCCTGAGCAGGGTCAGTGGGATTTCGGGAAGAGCAACTTCCTTCTCAATGCCCACGGTGGCTCGGACGGGCTGAGCCTTGGCCTTCACATTCTTCGCGACCTTTGCAGCAACAACCTGTCGCTGACCGACCGAGCGGGCAAAGGAAAGGTTCTCAACCTTGCGAGCATCGGATTTCAGGGCGGTTGCGGCAAGGCACGAAGCCTTCACAGCAGAGGATGTAGAGACAGCGGCCATGATGAGGTCGAAAGGGCCTGATTCAGTCCGACAGGAAGGAAATGGAGGGAGGTGCTGCTGCTTGAGGGCAGCAATGAGGAAGGCGGAAGATGATGGGCTCCATCGAATCCCCCCCAATTTGAGCTTTCACATTTCTTGGGAGTCCCACGCCACGTGTAGCATCCAGAGGCGCGGCAAATTGGTGAGGAACCAATGCTCTCCTGAAGCTAAGCGCGCTGCGACGCTGGAGGGCATGAGCTATGCGCTGTCAACAGGCGACACGACACGTGGAGTTCTGGACGAATAGCGCCAAACCAAAACGGAACGCAATCTCCACAAGACCTTGCGTCAGCAGGGACAAACATTGATCCAGCAGTTGTGGGAATTCGAAACAACCCACAGCCGTCGATCTCTTATCGAGCCAACGCCTGCGCTTGTTGCATCGACAAAAGCGCAATCGCAATCATGTGTGCTCAAGAATGCTTGGAAATACGCGTCACAATTATCACATTCATAGCTTGACGAAATAGGGTAGCAGAATACATGGCAGGATACATTGCATACAAAAGGAGCGCCACCAATTTATAAAGTAACAGATACTCCTATGTATTCATTCCCTCTATCCTGAACATGCCTTTGAAACTACGAAAACTATTACCTAAAATATGGATTACAAAAACAAATATCTGTGAGAAGGAATACATTCATAAGAATTAAGCTTTCAAACTAGGTACTTAGATTAAGTAATAATGAATATAAGTATAAAATATATGTGGTAATTGCTTATGGTAAGGTGCTATATGAATAGGGGGTGTGGTGTTAGGGGGGTCACCTGAGTTGCATCCCTAAATGCGGGTGACTGTGAACCAACCATCCCTTAGTCTGTCTTGGAAGTGGGGGCTGCTGCGGCCTGTTCTCGGGAAAATGCCCTGACGTACCGAAGATTCATTGGCTCATGGAACTGCCAGGGAATTCTCATTGGCTACAGCGTCCACATCAGCAACAGGTAACCCTTTGGCTGACGGCATATTCTCTCCATCTAGGGACTTCTCCGAGGCGCTTAGGGAGGCGCAGCGTATCAACGGCGAGGTTTTCTTCCCTGCCTAGGCGACCAGTCGCAGCCTCGTCCGTCCAGAGATTGGCTTCAGGCTGTGTGGTTCATGGGGTGCAGAGCTGTGGCATGGGCAGCGGCACCATCCCCACTTGGTGCAGGAACAATTACAGACCAGCCACTATCCGCGCCATCAATCTGCTTTTTGTTCGAGAGATTGTGTCTGATACAGTGTGGCTTCCCGTTTTGTGCTAGCAACCCGTGAAACACGTATCTCTGACATCGTTTTATCATCTCGTTTCTGTAGCTGAGTGGTATAGTCGCCGCCGTTATGGGTTTCTGGAGCAATTTCTCCAGAATCACGAGCATAAACCGCGATCACAACGACAGCAGCAGCAGCAGCAGCATCAACAACATTGACTGCAGCCATGGCTGTGATACTCGCGGCGCAGGTGGCGGCCTCGGTGTCAGCTTGCAGCACCACAGAAAGGCCTTAGATCTCGCTAGCGTTCAGCAGAGCGTGGCCGCCGCGGGGTGGGCCGAGGGGCTCAAGAGCGTGGACTTGCGCGATGGGAAGAAATGGGCGGCGGAGGCGGCGGAGGCGGCGGAGGCGGCGCACGCTTGCGCTGCTGCCCCGCCGCCCGACGACACGCCGGCGTCGCAGAGATTGGCGGAGGGCGGCGAGGCAGTGCTGTACTCCGCCACGGCGGACTTCCTGCCGCGCCAGCAGATTGAAGACCTCGATCGCGCTGCCGCTGGTGCGCCTACCATGTTCCCCGATCGTGACCTGAGTTAGGAATACCGCTCGATGGGTAGGGCAAAGGAATCAGTGCGACCTACTACTCCTTCCCACGCGTGGAACGCGTTCCCTCCAGGGCCAGAGCTCGGCACGATGTAGAACCAAACTTCCACTATCCGTCCTGTCCTGTTTCCCCTCTCAGCCAGCGCGCTCATATCTTGCGATGCTGGCAACAACGGCCGCGATCTGCGCCGGCTGTGGAGCCGAGGGCTTCTGGGTGGCTTGCTGGGCATTGCGGCCTTGAGAGCACGCGGGTCGCGACAAGACTGCTGGACTACTGGCCGGTGCCAGAAATGGCGACGAAGTGAGTGGATCGGAACCGAGGCCAGGTGTATGACCGGAAGGGCATCAGAGCCAGCGAGGCGGACGGCGCTGACATTGCTCCTTGCATTCTTGCTTGCCATCCTCGCTCTAATACACTATTCCGTCCTGCCTGGTCTCCGTCGCCCTGCTGCCATCGTTAATCCTGGCTGTTAGTATCCGTGTGCTGCGTGCTGCGTTGCGCCGACCGACCGTGCACAGGGGACCAACGGCCCGTGGAGAAAGCGCTCAACATCATCTCGTGCGCGCCGTTCTTCCTCGTCGGCCTCAACACTCCCAGGTCTGCTCTCCTTGCCTCCCCCCTCCCCCCCTTCTCTCCCCGTCCCCCTTCCCCTTCCCCCCCAACCTGCATCTCCATTAGCGCTGTCTCGTACGGTGCATGCTGACTTGCTGGTACTTCTCGCACACCTTGCCCGTGCTGCTATTCGTGTTCCCCCCCCGCTGTGCTCATTTGCCCGTCATTAATCCATCCGTCCCCCCTCTGCCCATCACACACACCCCCCACCTCCCCCCCCCCCCCCCCCCCCCCCCCCCCCCCCCCCCCCGGGAAACTCCAGGGCGAAGGAGTGTCCCAAGGCCCGTCTGTACAGCCAGTCAGTGATGGGCATTGGAGCCGCCGCCATGGCGTACCATGCATCGTCGGGGCCCGTATCGCGCCCCATATTGCACTGGCTCGACTGCACCATGATCGCCATCTCCACTCTCGTATGTGCCCTGCCCTCGCTGCAGCCCCTATTTTGAGGCGCCTCAATAATACACTGGCTCTTTTTTTGACGTGCCTAGAAAATACACAGGCTCTTTTTTTGAGGCGCCTAGAAAATGCACTGGCTCGAGTGGCCCATGATCGCGCTCTCCACTCTCGTATGTGCCCTGCCCTCGCTGCAGCCCCCCCACCGTGCTTCACGCCTCTCTGCTTCTGCCTGCTCAATGCTCCCACGCTTGCTCCACACATGCGCTTCCCTTCACCCTGACTTGGCAACCAGCTCTGAGAATCCCCTGCCTCGTACAGATGACTAGCGTCGCGTATTTCCATGTGGTAACTACTCACTCTCTGACTTCCCTTTCCCCAGTCCACCCTCACCCACTTCATGGCTCCTGTGCGTCACCCACCCTGCTCTGTACGCTACTCTTCCTTGCTGCAGTGCTTCTCGCGAGCAGCCCTGCCTGCAGACCAGCATTCAGCGGCGCTCATGGCAGTGTCTACAGCCATGGTGCCTGTGCGCCCGTCCCTTGTCATGGGGGTGCACTGGGGCCTGCTCGAGGTATTCACGCCATGCCTCATCACCCACTGGCTGCTTGCTTCCTCTGCTTGCTTCCTCTGCCCTGCCACACAGCTCGCCTCAGCCTCCTTGTTTGAATCGCGGTGAGCGCCCGATTAACCATCCCCATATCCTCGCTGTTTCCACAGGCTAGTTTCTGGAGGAGGTCTCGCAGGGAGCCGTCGCTGGCGAGAGCGCACTCGCTGCATGTGGCCACAGCCGTGACTGCCGGCGCCGCCATGCTGGCAGACAAGACGGTGGCGCACCACCCCGCCTTGCATGCGCTGTGGCATGTGGTGGCGGCTGGCGTGCTGCACACTGCAAACGTGCTGCTCCTCACACCCTCTGCCTCATCCTGATGTCACAACCTCAAGATTCAACAGAACAATTGCAGCAATTATTCATTCGAAGGGATAATTCACTAACGATGTTTGAGTTTAAAAATTTCACCACAGCATTGCGTGTCGATCCCATGGATGAGCTCGGGACGAATTGTCGAGTGACCCGCTGGGGTTACCCTTGAGAAGATCCTCGGGGAAGGGCCACAGGTGCAGAGCCTGGGGGGCGGTGGGCGTACTTATCAAACATATTTGTGTATGTTTAGTAGACTACATAGGGTCTTGCCATAGGGAGTACAACCCATTAGCTATGTACCCCTCTATACTCTCATTCTAGTCATTCGTTCTACCGTAATCCCCCGTATAAAACACCCGCCGGAATTAAGCTCCCCCGGGTAGCTTGAGCGGGTATGGGTGTTTAATTTAACTGGATTTAGTTACCACCCTACCCTTGGCCTTGAAAACATTTGACCACCCTCCCCCGAGATGAAAAAAACGTTTTTTCGACGTTTTGCTGTATACAACTTCTTGAATTAGACGTTAGCAATACAACTAGAGTACACCTAGTCACTACTCAGCAAAATTAACAGCTGAACTAGTTAGTGGCACCACCTGGGGCTTGAATCCTACCTATTGGCTCTACCTAGAACCTAAATTATCCACTACACTTTAAATCCTTACACTACGCCAGATACTCATGCCTCTGCCACTGCTCTAGTCGTCCTCCTCAGGCTCCTCATCATCACCAGCCTGCCACATCTCGACATCGCTCCCATCTGCAAGCTCATCCCACCAGCAGTTGTCGTCATCCTCCTCTGCAATGCCTTCTGCCGGCCACACATCAACACTTGCTGCTGCTGCTGATGCAGTCTCTGCATTGTCTGCGCTCGTCTCAGCTGCTTCGGTTGCCGCTTCAGCATAGTCGATGTCGTCAGCCGCCAGCGACGCCGCATCCGCCTCTTCGTCGTCGGCGACGTCCCCGTCCACATCGATGAAGGCGTCGTAGAGGGGGTTGATGTAGCCGCTCTCGCCCTCCTCGACGTGGACATCGTCCATCACCTCGAGGTCGGGCTTGCCGCGGAGGTGGCGGAGAGCGAGGTTGTCCTCGGTGCCGTCCAGCGCATTTGATATACCGCACGTCTTGAATGAACTACGCACGAGCTCCTCTGGCACAGCTTCCCATGACCGAGCAATCCATTTCAAGATGAGCTCAGCCGGAGGCTTCTTCAGATTTCCTGCACATGGGACAGGAGCATAATGGGAGGAGAAGAACACGGGCACGGTAAGATAATGACTGGGAACGGGCACGGTGGAATTCGTCAACAAGCAAGAAGTCTAATAACTAGTGAGGAAGCGACTAGGAAGGGGCTCACCTGCCGCAGTCTTCTGGTCGATGCCGAACTGCTCAAACCACGCGCCGTAGTCGCCGCGCACGCCGGCCTTGAAGCTCTTGTTCACTGCGACGTCCAGCGGTTGAACGAGAGGCGTGCAACCACCTGGGATGACCGCGCGGGTAAGTTTGCAGAGCTTCATCGTCTGCCCGACTGCTTGCGTGAGGTGGCCCTTGTACGAGTCCAGGATGACGAGCGCCTCCTTGCGCCTATTCCCCGCTTCGCGCAGCGGGCGCAAGAACGGGTTCAGGACTTGGGTAGTCCAGTCCTGGACAAGCTTCTCGTCCATCCAGCCCTTCGGCTGGGCTCGGATGATGACACCTGGATACAATCACAAGACACCACAACAGTCAGAGGGTATGCATCGGTGTACACTATGCACAGAGCGAAAAGCAAAGGCGATTCTTACCCGGGGGAACCTGAATCTTTGGCAGCGTCTTCCGCTTGAAGATGACATACGGCGGGAGCTTCAATCCCGATGCGGTGACTGCCAACATGACGGTGAGCCGCTCCTTTTCATAGCCGGCCGTCCTCACATGCATCGTACGGGAGCCTCTGTGCTCCAACGTCCTCTCCTGGGGCATTTCGATGAAGAGGGGGGTTTGGTCGGCGTTCACGATGTGGTCGAGGTTGTACCGGTTGAGAATCCGCATCTGTTTGACAAACTCCCAGAATTTCTCGATCTTCGTCCTCATGTCTGCCTAGAACAAAACAGTCGGAGAACAAATTCATGCATGAACACGCGAGAAGCAAGACAATCAAAAGAATCAAATATTGAAAGTCGCGGCAAGGGATTGAATAACAAGGATGGGACGACAGTTTACCGTCGGCGAGCTTTTGCCCCATCTTCGTCTTTACCCGACGCGTAAGGCCCCAGCGCGCGCGGAATCTGAACGTCCAGCGACTCGACGCTCTCCAGTCGACGTCGGGATGATGTACGCGCATGTACGAGCGACTCCATTTCTGCAGCAGCTTGACGGAGACGGCAAGCCCCCTCCCGCGGTGCCTCAGGAACTGTCGGTAGAGGGCACTCTCCATCGTCGGGTACTTCGCGGGACGTCCGGCACCGACGAGGCGTCTGCGGCAGCCGGCGGCGACACGGAGGCGTTCGCGAGCATTCTTCCACTCCCGAATCGACACCGGCTGGACACCTGCAAGCTTTGCGAGTCCACGCACAGAGAGGTCGGGTTGAGCATCGAACATGGCAAGCCAGTACAACTTCTCCGAGGCAGAGTACGAGCGGCGCTTCCGCTTTGTCATCCTGCTTCGAGATGCGGGGGCATGGACATCGTGATTCAAGGTAGGACCACGGGGTCGTCGAATGGGCTCCGGGAAACTCGGCACGCTGACGCGCGGCAGGGGACGACGCCCTTCCGTCGTAGTGGCATCGCCGCTTGCAGAATCTGTCGCAGCGGCGTCGCCGCTTGCAGAATCTGTCGCAGCGGCATCGTCGCTTGCAGAATCTGTCGCAGCGGCGTCGCCGCTTGCAGAATCTGTCGCAGCGGCATCGAAGTTTGTAGAGTCTGTCGCTGCGGCATCGAAGTTTGTAGAGTCTGTCGCTGCGGCATCGCCGTCGGCAGAGGACCGACGAAGTAAAAACGTCTGCTGGCCATAAGGGCCCTTTCGAGTCAGAAGGCGAGATAAGCCAGAGCCTGAGGCCATGGCGGGGGGACGTTACAGAGACGGAGCTAGAGGATGCCTTAGACAGCCCTTGCAGGGGCTGTCTTGAAGGCATCCTGGAGTCGAAACTGAAAATGAGAGCACGGAGCGGGGTAGACCCACTTCAAGAGTGGGTTGGAGGGGAAGGCAGGGACGTGGGCGACTCCCTCGTCCATGTCGCCCATGAAATGCCTCTCACGACCATCCAGAATGTGTGATTCCGTGCGCTGGCCGGTCGTGAGAAGGCATCGACAAAATGTGCCGTTGATTTCGCCACCCCATGCTGTGCTAGCACAGCGTGGGCTGGAGGCATCAAGGTGGCTGCCTGCAGCACAAGCTGATTGGCTACCCTGGCAGCATACTGAATCAGCAGCTTATGTAGACGATGTGGCATGCACATGGACCAAATCGTTGGGTACGCGATCAGATAGCAGAATGGGACTCCATACTCAGAACAATGCCCTGTCACAAGTACAGTTGAATTCAAATCAAAAATTGCATATGCACATTCCATAACTCCTGGGTGCTGTATTTTTTTTGCCTTCAATTACACCCAACCCAAAATTTCGTTGCATTTTTATTAACACCATAGGGTGTTTTATACGGGGGATTACGGGTAACTCTGTTGCTGCTGCTGCTGCGCCAGGGGCCCAGGAGGGGCGCGACGGGCTAGGAGGCGCGAAAGGAGCCCAGGAGGGGCGCAACGGGCTAGGAGGCGCGAGTGGGGCCCAGGAGGGGCGCGACGGGCTAGGAGGCGCGATAGGGGCCCAGGAGGGGCGCGACGGGCTAGGAGGCGCGACAGGGGCCCAGGAGGGGCGCGACGGGCTAGGAGGCGCGAGTGGAGCCCAGGAGGGGCGCGACGGGCAAGGAGGCGCGATAGGGGCCCAGGAGGGGCGCGACGGGCTAGGAGGCGCTGCAGGGGCCCAGGAGGGGCGCGACGGGCTAGGAGGCGCGACAAGGGCCCAGGAAGGGCGCGACGGGCTAGGAGGCGCGGCAGGGGCCCAGGAGGGGCGCGACGGGCTAGGAGGCGCGATAGGGGCCCTTGAGGGGCGCGACGGGCTAGGAGGCCCCAGGAGGGGCGCGACGGGCTAGGAGGCGCGACAGGGGCCCAGGAGGGGCGCGACGGGCTAGGAGGCGCGAGTGGGGCCCAGGAGGGGCGCGACGGGCTAGGAGGCGCGATAGGGGCCCAGGAGGGGCGCGACGGGCTAGGAGGCGCGATAGGGGCCCAGGAGGGGCGGGACGGGGCCTAGGTGGGGGCGGCGCGACGGGGCCTAGGTGAAAGCGCGACGGGGCCTAGGAGGAACGGGCGGAAGCGGTAGGTGGGGGGGGGTCGAACCTACGGGTGATACCATGTCGAGAAGAAAACTGAATGATTAGAATAGAGGGAGAGAACAAGGGTATATACCTAAGAGTGTTGTACCCTCTAAGAGGTGACCCTATACAGTCTATACAAATATGAGTTATACATATATTTGACACATACCACTGAAAGCCGCTGATATTGATGCTGCTGTTTGTTGCTGCAATGTTGCAGGTACAGAGGACGAAGTTCCTGGTGGATGCACAGTAGGCAAACCTTGCTGCTGTTGCGGCATCCCAATCGAAGAATAAGCAGGTGGAAATTTTCCAGCTGCAGAGTTCCCTGCTTGACCAGTGTTGACTGTAGGATTTGTAATACCCGTAGGTCCAATTGTTGAGGAACCAGATGATGGAGCCGATGATGGTCCAGTCATGATTGACAATAGTTTTAATTCCAGACAGCTCTCATACCATGAAAGAATTTGCAAGGTGGTGCAGGAGACCAAGTATAGAATCTGGAGACATAAGTACTTGAAGTAGAAAGTAATACTGGAAGTACCTCCAGTAACAGCCAGTATTAACAAGTTGTAACACCAGAGTCAGTGTTACAGCCTTGCGATACTTCAAGACTTAACCAAGGATCTTTGCTGGAATGGTAGACTAGTAAGACAGCGGAAGTCTTAGAACTTGTAAATTATTGACCATATTTTACTGAAGAACAAGTTAACACTTGAAGTTGTACAAGCTACTTTTATATCTGCTAGAAGTACCTATTCGGTGATGTACCTGTTCGAGCTATTTGCGCTATGCGTTCTAACCGTTACTGAAAAGAGCGCAACTGTTTGCATGACTGAAACGGCTTGCTGACGTAATCATCCAAACGAGCGCTATTTGCTGACGTCATTCTACGGATGCTAATTATAGTGTAACTCGACAATATCTATCGTGACAACTTACAAAAATGCTGAAGTACGATTTTACCACAACAACAAGGACTAGGT